AATTTATACCCGTGTTGTACATTATGCTGTACGCTATGGATGAGCGCTTTGTAAAAATGAACGGATTGATTATTCAGCTGCGGGCGCCATCTTCTGGCGAGATGCGGGAATTCATTCGGCGCGTGACTCTCACGGTGCATTATGGGCATTCTCTAGCCGTTGAGCGTGCACCAGTTATACGCTCGTTTTTGCAGTGCATTGTGGGATTGAATGAGTGCACTCGAGAACGTCCACTATGGTTTCGGACACCACTAAAAATGTCTGTTCCCTCAAATAGAGCCCTATTTAAGGGTATAGGGGGCGATTTCAGACACAGCCGTAGTTTGGAGAAATGGATGGATGAAAACCAAGCGGCAACCTCCCGCTCTCTCTCGTGAAGCCAACAAGGAAGTGACTAAAACTGTAATTCGTCAACTGGCCGCTAGAGGCTGGCTGCAAAAAGGGAGTCAATCCCATAGACTCCCCATGTTAAAATACCCAACTTTACAGCAGAAAAAAACATGTTTACAGCCTGGTTCAAAAAATGATTTTAGTCTATATAGCTAATTTTGCCCTTCGTGACAACTGTGAGGGGGGAGATTTTTTTTTATAACTCATCCGTTTAAATTATATTAAGCCTTAAAGTTCTGCATAATTAAGGGCGTGGCCACTTGAGTGACAGGTGGATTGCCGCTGCTGTCACCACCGTCGAGCTAGGTGGGCGTGGTTTCAGCAGCCAGCGCCCGCCTCTTTGCCCATTTTCGATTATTTGGGAGTGACGCGCGGTGACGTGCTGCCAAGATGGCGACGGCCGGCTCCGCCTACTTTGAGCTTCAAAAACCTCTTCGGAACCCTACGGGTGACGTCACGGACACTACGTCCATGTTTTTATACAGTCTATGGTGAAAACAGAAGCCCTAGAGTATGACATCATATCCTGTTGCCCATACTTGTTGATATAACTGATATTTTGAGCATCTGATATTATTTTTTTGCAGTAAAGTGTGTGGTATGATTGGAATGTTACATTGACAAAATACATTTTTTATTGTGGTTATGTTTGAACTAGAAATTTGCAATGATTTTCTGGCATCAAAATGCCCCTTTACATCTTTTAGCAAAGTTTCTTATTCATTTTGCTTTGACTTGTAAGTGATTTGTTAAAATGGTGATTTGAAACTGATTGTGACTTGTTTTCATTTGTAGTTTTATTTTAGTTAGATGCGTCACAGTTTATTTGAAGGGCATTTTCTTCATCTTTTCTGCCTTGCGCAACTTTGCAAGCACACGTTTGTTAAAAAGACAAAACAAACAGACTTGAGGCCGCATCGTTTCTTTTTTTAATTCGACTGTAAATGCTTCTTTGTTCTCACAATGTAAAGTTGTTCTAGCAATCACAGCCTTATCTAACACACCTTTCAGGAGCCATACAATCACATAGAACGGACCGCTGTCCTGCTCTAGTATGTTTGGGAAATAAGATTTTATTTGCAGGACTTTGTTGAATTCTTTGATGCAGCTTTTTTCTTGCAATATCAACGTTGTCATTAAAGAAATGCATTATATTGCACATACCTTAATACAATATTGAATCATTTTAATTTCTCAATATGTCCATGCATTTCAATCATGATTTTTTCCCCCATTTCAGTAAAGGGGTTAGTTGATATATATACTGTCTATATATAAACTAAGATATTTTAACCTTATCAACTCAATAACATTTGTTTTGTTGCACAGAAAGACAGTCATTACACAACAATCGGTATTTATTGAGAATAATTATAATACAAGAATTAGTAAGTTGTTATTTTAGAAATACCAGTTTTAGTCTCAGATTTCTGCTCTGGTTTTCAACAGAGTACAGAAAGCTGATAATGCTTAACATAAAAGACACACAGAAAGAAGGCCGACTTTATGATCTAGCGTTCCTGACTATCAGTAACTCCTAAGTCACCGTATGGCACACAAATCAGATATTAAGGGGTCATTACAACATTTAACCTCTCGACCCGTGCTTTATGATTAAGAACTACTGTTCCTTTGCAACATCAGCGAGGAAAACAAGCATGTTACTGCCATTTAACATAAGCTGACACTGGATGCGAGTGAAGTCAGCAAGAAATCTTCTGGATCATCCACCACCCTGTGAACAAGAAAACCATCACGAGCTCCGTAAAACAGCAGCAAACAAAACAATATTCATCTTTAACCCTGTTAATCTAGAGACAGACCCCGATATGTTGCTTGGATTTATAAATGTAATTTCCAAACATTCTCATCACTGTTTAAAAGCACGGCGTTCTCTAGTAAGTCACTGCATGATGAGTTTTACGTGTTCACTACATAGTTTTTACTCCAACCATCAGGGTTCCTACATATTTTCCATTTCAAAATTCCATACTTTTCCAGACTCAAATTTCCAAAGCTCTCAGTAGATTTTCAGACCATATTTAACATAAATGGTTCATAGAGCATTATTTTCAGCATTATATGTGGTATATATAGTACAGTCATCTGTAAATATTTTTATTTTCTCAGGTTTTTTTTTTCACACTGCAAAAAATGATTCTCTTGTTTTCTAGTATAAATATCTAAATTCTTGAATCAAGATGAAGTTACTGTACAAGTAAAATGACTTAAGATATTATGTCATGCTTTCTGTAAAAAATATAAAACTTTTGTTAGTTTTTGCTAAAAACAAGCAAAAATATCTACCAATGGGGCAAGAAAAATAATCTTGTTTAGCCTTTGAATTAAGATGATTTTTCTTACCCCATTGGTAGATATTTTTGCTTGTTTTAAACAAAAACTAAAAATTTTGATAACTTTTTTTTAGAAAACAAGACTTATTATATTAAATCATTTTACTTGTCAAGTAAATGCATCTTGATTCAAGAATGTTTAGATATTTATACTAGAAAACAAGACAAAAATACTAAGAAAATCATTTTTTGCAATGCACTGATTTTCTGTGACATTAACATACAGAGCACCTAAAATAAAAATAAATTATAATTAAAAAAATTATTTTTACATGCACACAAGAAAATTTTTTGCATGCTTACACATTACAATTTCTAGTTTTATATAACCTATTTCCTTTGTGCATCACTGCCATCTTACTATGAATAAAACAAGAGCATGGATGCACATGAATTAATAGAAATGTACTTGCTAAAAATTTGTCTTTTCTTATGGTAGTACCTCTAATACCAAGGCCTAATGTCCAATTTAACACATCCTCCGTGGCGGCACAGAAACCATGACATGAAATGGGCTGATGACATAAAATTTGCCAAGTTCAAGGGTTTATAAGACTGGTACTGTAAAAAAAAAGTGTTTAAAATTTGACTTTCGTGAATTTCAAGGTCTTACTATCTATACTTTGTGGAGGCCAAGAAACTACACCACGAAATGGGCTGATGGCACAATATGTGGCTCAGCGTGCACGGTCCTATATGCTAAGTTAAATGATTTGTCGTGCGCACATAAAAGTCTGCATATATTTTATTTTTGCAAAAGTCCTTAATAGGGCTGCACGATTAATCGAATGCGATTGTCATGCGCATTTTGATAGTAATGCCGGTTCTGTAATCAGCAGGAAATCATCATCACATGCTTTCAGATGGAGCAGCATTTACTACACATAGCCGTAGTTCAATGACAAGTTACGCAAAAAAATCGGTTTTATTGAGCGATTATGAAATCGAAGAAATCGTTTGCGATAATGACAGCTGTTTGCATAGCTTCTCGGTGAACTACGGCTCTGTGAAGTAAATGCTGCTCCATCTGAAAGCATGTGAAAATACCACATTTAATAACATATGTTTACTTCTGGGTTTCTTCTGCGAGGCGTATTTGGAGTTTCAGCGCGAGAGCGCCCTCTGGCCTTCGGATGGAGATTTACTGCTGATCACAGAACCGTGCTTCACTGAAAGATACGCATGACAATCGCAGCTTCTGTCGAATCGCGATCTCGATTCCATTTCGATTTATTGTGTAGCCCTAGTCCTTAAGGCTATGTAATATGGCGCTAAGAACATTGTGAGAAGAAACCCAAAAACCTGCATTTTGCATAATGAAAAAGTGCACCTTGAATTCATTCAGTTGTATTTTGACTTTGACGTGTTGTACAATAAATATATTTTCATTAAATTCTTAATTTTCTATTATAAAAAATACTAAATGGGGGCAAAAGTCTGGAAAAACACATACTTTTTGACCTGGAAAATACTTAAATTAAATTCCATACTTTTCCAAACCCTGTAGGACCCCTGAACCATGCAACGGCAAGAATGCAAAGTTTTAAAAGACTTGTTTTTTAACTCTTTTGTGCCAGGTGAAACTGATTTAGAAAGCTAAGGTCTGCTTCAGACACTCACGCTGTATGCGGCGAGTCTAGCGCATGCGCATGTGCAGACTGTGCTTGGGCCCGTCCACTCGCTCCAGCTTCTCAAAGTGTCTCCTGGCGTTCCTGATGTTGATGAGCGTGGCAGCAGACGCTGGAAGAGAGTGAGAGGGTTTGCTCTGAGACACAATGTGCTTTCCTTCAACGTTATTTGGAGTGCAGACGGAGGAACACAGCTAGTGAGACCACAGCTGAGTGTCATGTGGGATTGGTAAAACCTGCAGGCTGATGCTTACGTATGGACGGGTCTGACATGATCACCATGACGTAGGTGTTGGACGTGAACACATCGATAAAGGCGGCGAAGTTAGAGTTGCGCACCTCCATGCTCTGGAAAGAGGCGGCCAGTTTACTGAGGGACAGACAGAAAGGTCAGAATTACCCATGATGCTGTTCAGCGCTGAAAACTACATGAATGGAGTGGGACTGACCTGCAGCTCAGCTTGAACTGCTTGATGATGTTACTGATCTTCTCGAAGCGATGAGCATCACGCTGCTCCTTACACTGATAATGAGAGATCACCTGACACGAGAGACAGGTCAAATCATTCAGAGCCAAAGCTTCCCACAATAGCTATGTTTCCATCCAAAGATGCCAATTTAACTTATGCACAAAACTGGAATATTTCATAATACATTTGAGAATAAAGCACCGTTTCCATCCAACGAGTCTAAGAGAACAAACTCGTCCTGATAAACTGGCACTAAATATCTCTAAGAAAACTAGGAGAAGCCACTGAATATAATCATTTTCATATGTAATAAATGACTTGCGCTTCAGAGAGACCAGACGTAACACAATAAATGCGGTCATTGCTTTTAGAGGTGGATGCCTGCTGTTTGGGAACGCAGTCGTGTAAGACAGTAATTATACAGAAATATTTTGATGACTTACTTTCCTCAGGCATTTCAGAACAACCAGAACAACATATAGATGCTGTGAACGAGATCGGTCTGCTAGTTAGTCAATTTATCCCATAAAGTCACATGACTTTTTCAATGCGCATGGTGGAATTTATTCAGTAAATGTGTTTCCATCATAGTTTATGTGCATTTTTTCTTATCGGATAAAATGTTTATCCTACTCAGTTGTGCGCATACGTTTTTTACGCGCATTTTTAGAATTTATGCGCATCTTGGCGTTTCCATCCAGCGGTTTTTTTTATGCGATAATCCAAAATGCGCATAAAAATAGGTGGATGGAAACATAGCTAATACCATCTCTGGGTTTGCCACCCAATTCAAAGTCAAGTGGCAGACCTTTCCACTTCAAACCAAAGAGATCTAAAACGCCATCCAATAACATTCTCTTTCATCTTAATGGAAGTTGCTTGGCTGGAGCATTAAACTCCAGATTTGACAAAGACAGTCATTTCTGCTTACATGATCCAAGAACCTGAGCTGTAGTATGACTGCAACTATTATTCTGATAATCTACCAAGTTGTTGACTCTGGAGCAGTATGAATGTTAAACCAACACAATGTTGAAACACACGTTGAAGAGCGACCTGTTATACTCCCTTCTGAGCCTCCAGTGGGCGCGTGTTTCTGGCCTCTGATCACTGGGAACAGTGGCTGATACTGAAGCTGTACATCTGTCAAACAGTAACTGGTATTTTTGCATTTCGCGTTGCATATTTTCAGAGAATGTAGTGTTAGATTATGTTCTGACTCTGGATGAGATTTCTGTGTTTGACAGAGAAAAGGTTTTGTGTTTTGCACGTTCACTTGCTCATCGCATTTCACTGAAAATCTGCTCTCAAACCTTCCTTTAGTTGGCCTGCAACAAGCCCTCATTGGTAACACAGGAAAGGATGAACAAGGTAGATCATATTGTCCATTCAAGTTCTCCTGAAATGTGTAGTAAATAGTCTGGCAAAAAATGTCCAGTTTTCAAAGCGTTGGAGGCTCAGCGCTGCATGTTCTGATGGAAACTTAAGAAACTTCAGTCTGAGAAATCTAGGCTCTGGGTGGCATCTGCAGTTTCCTACAAAGCCAGAGAACTCTAGGGTGGATGAGTTTGGGGCTGCTACATCTATGGAACACTATGTCAAAGACGGACAGACTGACAGCATCACAATCATAAGAGACGCTAATCTATAAACTGAAATAGGTCTCCAAACTGAAGTCATTTGACATTTGCATGCATTCTGCTTGAAACTGCCACAATAAAATGGCTTTATATGAAGCGTGCACATAGTGTGGGCGAGACCTGGTCATTCATTCTTATACATTTATTAAAACCAACCTTTCTATAGACAGGAAACAGTAATATTACAGCACAAGAAATGGCAATAAATTTCCTTCTAATTATTTGAATGTTCTTTTCTTATGAAAACAATGGGAAAACATTAGTTATATGCTTTTTAATATTTTTCAAACATGTTTTTTCATGACTAAAGGGATTTCTGCGTGCATGGTGCACATAGAATGCAATTTTGTTTTCATTATCAATTAATTGTTGCAGCCCTACAATTTCATTTTTATAGAATTGACAAATACATTTAAAACTAGGATTTATTTTAGACGATGTTAAACTGAGCAAATGTAAAATGGCAAAATATTCACAACATAAGGTCATAACCAAATTGTGCTGTGCCGGTTTGAATATCTGCAAGCAGTTATGTGTATGAATTATTTAAATTTGATACAAACCAGGAAAGTAGCTCTTTCAAAAAGCAAGACTTCATCTGCCTCAATTATCTGAGCAAAGTTGCGTAGGTTACACTCGAGCTGCTGTACGTTAGGGATGAGCTGATAGACGATACTGGACCACGCCTGCAGACACAAACACACACGATACAAGTCCAGCTTCTGTCTGTCTGTTAATGCTGAGCGGTGCAGAGAAATGAACATGTTCTTACTTTATACAGCGTCTCGTCCCAAATAGACGTTCTGAAGCAGGTGCAGGCCAGCGGGCGAGACAGTCTTTTCAGGTCCTCCTCACGCTCTTTAAATATCTAAACCATCACAAAGCAATTAACGGATATAAAATAACAGTCATTATAAACTAGGCATTTTTTGCATCCAGTGGGGACATAATTACGGATTATAATGACTTATACTGTCTTTTTGTGCATTGCGTTGCATCGCGCCGCGTAAACATAAAACCATGTCTGCATGTCCCGGCGAGCTTGAGTGAGCAGAGGCAGGCGGGCTAGAGTGAGCGGCGGCCGACGGGCTTGAGTGAGCGGAGGCCGGCGGGCTAGAGTGAGCGGAGGCAGGCAGGCTAGAGTGAGCGTAGGCCGGTGGCCTCACACTTGAGCGGAGACAGTTAGCGGAAGCTAGAGATTACGGTTTATAAAGTTGTAAATATTAATTTTTCTCTTACACAAACGCATCGATTCGCTTCAGGAGGCCTCTATTCACCCTCTGGAGCCGTGTGGAGTACTTTTTATGATGGATGGATGCGCTTTATTGGACTTCTATTGGGCTATTGAAAAAAAAAAACACCCATTCACTGCCATTACAACGCTTGAAAGAGCCAGGACATTTTTAATATAACTCCGACTGGATTTGTCTGAAAGAAGAAAGTCATACACAACTAGGATGGCTTGAGGGAGTAAATCATGGGCTAATTTTCATTTTTGGGTGAACTATCCCTTTATCCTAAAAACGGGTTCAACATTTTTCTCTCTCTCTCTCTATTGATTTTCAAAATCAAACATGGAAATTCCCGGGCGTGTCTCACCAGGTCTCTCTGGTCCTCCTGCACCAGGTCCATCTTGTGCACCAGGCAGAAGATCTTGGCATCAGGCGAGTTCTGCAGGATGGCTTCCAGACACGACTGGTAGTAATGCATATCCTTCTCCAGCTCGCGGCTCTCCACATCAAACACGTAGATCAGCACCTCCACATTGCGAAAGATGTTGTCTCTCTGACTCGTGAAGTAGTTCTCCATAAACGTGTCCTGTCTGTGTGATTCACATTTAAAGATGAGAAAAGAAAAGTGTCTTCCCAAAAGCCATCCAACAAAACACCTTCCCACAGGAGACACTTACCCACCACAGTCCCACAGGTTCAGCACAAGATTGCCCAGAAACCGCACGTGAGAGTGCTCCACATCAACTGAATGGAGAAAAAAAAATAGAAGACTTTAACCTTTCATGTGAACTGTACTTAATACATGTCATGAAAGAGGATTTATGTTGACATGTTAATATCTGCTCTTTTAATGAAAATGAGACATGAGGCAATTGTAAAAGGAGGAAAATTATTTATATCTTATGAACGTATAAAGCATAATTTAAAAATTAGAAGTGCCCCAAATTATGATTTAGACCATTAAAAACAATATAAAACTACATAACAGTCAAGTAAAATCTCAATTAGAGTTGCAAAAAGGTGGAAAGTTTCCAGTAAATTGTGTTTGTGTGTGTGTGTGTGTGTACAGCAGTGCTGTATTACAGTGATGTTAAACTCACCTTCTTCTTCATGGCTGTGCTGGACATTTTCCTGCTCAACTTGTCTTTACCACGGTAAATCACTGTACTCTGCCGATCATCAACAACTGTAACAAGACCACAACACACGATCACTCTTATGTCAGACCGACTCTCTTTCACTCTGACTCAGGCGCTGTGCCCACAAAGTGTGTAAAGTGTCTGGATTTAATGATGTGTTCCTAAATAGGTCCACTTAACAATAAAGTCATATTTCTTTATAATAATTACAAACGGGGGATGAAACCATATTTTGACTTTTTGAATTAGATTTTTTTTAAAATCTTTATTTAATGTGTTTCTTTTGTTGTTCACAATGATAGATGCAGAAGAACAACAGTGTCATGTGCAATCCACAGATAAACGGGAAATCTGCAATTTCAAATATTGCTTGAAATCAATAAATGAATAAATAATCGATCAGGTTGCATTCTATAATTTTCATCAGTACTCAGCCACCTTTATCACTGTACACAATAAAAATAGCATCTTTGTAGAGATTCTCATTCAGCAAAGCTCTAATGTGACGACTTAAAATAAAACGTGTAAAATGCTAAGCACTCATCTCTTGCCAAGTCAAATTTCTAGTCTAAAACTTAAGTAAGGCCTTTAAATTCAATCTTTAATCCTGTCAGTAAGTGAAAAAATCAGAGCGACTGCAGCTCAAATGCATTTTAGTGTTCATTCGGTTTCATTTTATGTTGGCATACCCCAAAAAGCAGCATTTTTGACACTTTTTCATTTTTAGGGTTGTAACGGTATACCGGTATGGCGGTCTATCACGGTTTGAACATGCGCGGTTCTCACACCGTCAACATTTGCATATCTATGTGTTTACACACACACATGCAGCGGAGAAAACGACAGAGACAGATTATATCTAATCTCCATCCCCGCCGAAAAAGAAGTTGAAATCTGCAGTATGGGAATACTTCCGATATAAAGAAAAACGAACGCGGGGTTGTCCTTGAGGACGGATATCCAATTTGCAAAAAAATGTGGATGCAAAGTGACTGCAAAAGGAGGCAATACATCCAACATGTTTGCTTATATTCGTGAACACCATTCCTCCGTGCAGAAAAAGGTGTCGCATTTATAACAAATTATAAGTTAAGGCCATATGAATTCTGTGATGCAGAAGGAATCCTGTGAACATGGAATTTACAGTGTAAATATAGTCAACATATCAAAAACATAAAAAGTAGATATGATATGTGTCTGTGAATATTATAAAGCAGGGCTCGCAAAATCGCTAGCCCCGACGTCTTGGGGCTATTGTGTTTTCCAGTCGGGCTACCAAAATGTATCACTGCCCGACAGGCTATCTTACATAGTGATATAATAGATATCCGATATAAAGAAAAACGCAAATTAAACCCATTTACCTAAATTCATTACTTCAGAGTTATGTGCCCTCTAGAAGCTTGCGTTCTGCAAGTGAACGGCGTGTTATTGTGCCATCTCAAAGAGGCACAAAATCACTTTCACAGACTTTTTCATTAACTGTTCCCTCCTGGTGGAATGACCTGCCCAAATCAATCCGAGCAGCTGAGTCCTTAACCATCTTCAAGAAACGACTAAAAACACACCTGTTCCACCTTTATTTGACCCTCTAACTCTAACACTTTCTATTCTATTTTAATTCTACTTTATCTATATTTATCTTTTTTTTTTTATTCTTTATTTAAAAAAAAAACAAAAAAAAATGAAGACTAGCTTTCTATTTTTTCTATTCTATCTACTTGTTTTTTGCTCTTTTGTTAGTTTTGACTGCTTTTATTGTCCTCATTTGTAAGTCACTTTGGATAAAAGCGTCTGCTAAATGACTAAATGTAAATGTAAATAAATGTAAATATAAAATCCCTTCCTTGATTCGTGTTGTTCACTCGCTTGTAGGGGTGACACGGATCATAGTTTATCATTTACACGTGTTTCTAAGTCTTACCTAAATAGCACGTGCTGTCAGTGATTTTAACCACTAGAGGCCGCTCTCGCACTGTGTAATGACAGCAGACCCTTCTCAGCCGCTCCAGCAATGGACGCAACCCGGAAAACTATCGGCATGGATTTTTGCCGATAACCGATAGTTCCAGCAATCAACTATCGGTGCCGATTAATCGGCAAAACCGATACATCGGTCGACCTCTATACTGAAGTACACATGACACTAATGGTGTGTTCAGCATCTACATAAACATGATCACCACCAGAGCTGCTCTGAGAGAAAACTTCAATAAACACTTCCTAGTTTCATTGGAGAAAAACCCTTGTCAAATACACTCTGAAACTCAAAGGTCCGCTACACCCGTCAAAATAAAAGTACAATGAAATGTACTATATTATAAATATTCTTTATAAAAATATTATTTATTTAGTCAAGATTGAGCCCTGAAAATCTCAACATGCTTGCATTCCTTCATCACGACCTGCACTGAAAAGAAACATAGAAATACAAACATGGTTTTGCACTTTTTGCTCCCATTTATGCTGTTTAAAAGGAAGGACAATTTGGTTTATTTCTGTCTAATCTAAATTTTTTAAAAGACCTTGCTTATTTTTCCCTTCTAATTTTAATTTTTCAAATAAAATGTTCTAATTCTGCATTTTCTTTTTTTTTTCAAATTGGAGATGTATAGCTTTATATTTTAATTGTTTTTTAATTAAAAAACGAAGCGTTTGAGAGAGGCGGGGCATAGAGGACCTACAATAATGTACAGTATTTGAAAAATAATGTGTTTTTTGAACATTAAAGCATGTCAACATATTCTGTTACACCAAATACACCAAATAATGATCTTTAAAAAAGCATCATATGACCCCTTTAATGATTTTTTTCATAAGGGAGACTTCAATACTTTCATTAAAATGGTTTCAAGTTTGTTGTAATAAAGCATTTGTTCACTCAAAAAACGTGTTCTTATTGTTTTAAGGGTCATTGTTTCTGATCAGAATTATTGTTTACTATATACCGTGAAACCGTGATGTTTTCTGAGACGATTATCATACCGTGAAAATCTCACACGATACAACCCTAGAAAAGACACCAGAAAACAAAGGATTTGGGAGATTTTTCTAGAAAGTTTAGTTTGAAGCTTCAGCTTTTGGTGTGGCAGGCCAGAATTATGTTTATGGTGAGTTTAATTAAGGTTATATCATCATGACTGACTTCCACACAGAGCCAGAACACTTCTGCCTTCATTTTGTTCTCTAATCTGAAACCTGACCAACCTGCTCCTGTGACTGTTTGCTATCGCTCATGCTACATGCTACTCGGTTTGATCTTCTGTACAACGCAAAGACAAACGTGTATTTTCTATTTTCCTAAATGTCCAGATAAATGTGGAGGGCAGTCAGTCAGTCGCTGTGTCTGTAAGACTGTTGTGTTTTTGTTCCACACTTCTTCCCTCAGATCTCAGACAGCGAAAGCAGATATGAAGAGCGCTCTGCCGAGGCTAGCAACTCCCCACCAGCGCTTAAACACGACAGAAGTGTCAGAAACAGTCGGCTGCGGTGAATGTAGTTAATGCTGAACACCATCACGTACCTGATTAAACTCCCCATCGATGTTTACATCGCAGTTCTCGTACGGCGACCAGAAGCACGTGACTGACCGCCGCTGTCTCGCGATATCTCGCGGCTTTCACGTGACTCGGAGCTCAGGGCCGCATGACGCTGTAAAGAAAAGCAATGAAGAAAAAGCAAAGTATAACATGTTTGTCACCGTGACCACTCTCTGGCTTACATTAATTTAGTGATCAAATTCAAAACCCTTATGGAAATAAGATGTATTATTTAAATCTGACTAATCTTCCAATTGTTTGTCATAAATCAACATCTCAGGAAAATATTATGGGGTTTCAAATCAAAATATGACTTTCTATTATGAAACAGGACATTGATTTCATAGGACTAAATGCATGCTTATTACGCATTTTAGGAGACACAACAAATGAATAGGGAAAAAAGTATGTATCAATATTCTTATTAAATATTAGATGCATTTTAGGAGACACAACAAATGAATAGGGAAAGAAATTATATTTCAGTATTCCTATGAAATATTAGATATTATTATGAAAATCTTGCCAATTATTACTCCCATTATTACACTTCTTTTTTCATTACATGTTGCCCCCAAAAACACATTAATATGCTAATTATAAACAGTGTATAGATGCATTGTACATAATGGGAAACCCGTTTTTACACACATGTTGCATAAAGCAAAATGGTATATCAAATCATTCTGTTATATCTTTCATAACATAGTTGAGAATAATTTTTATACAAAGTCTGGGATAAAAAAATAAAAATGGATTGGGTTTTTTTTTTTTCCGCTCAGTTTTTTTGCCTTTTCATGTATATTCATGTCTTTTTATTTATTTAAAAAACAGGACTTTTTAAAGTGTCCTCTACAGAGGACATATCATAACATATGAATAAAATATAATTTTTCAAAAATAAATAGATAGATAGATAGATAGAAATAGTCAGATGATAGATAGATAGATAGATAGACAGATAGACAGACAGACAGACATACAGATAGATAGATAGATAGATAGA